CATCATACACCACTTATCACACACCACTCATCATACACCACTCATCATGAACCACTGGTGAGATGACTCAGATTTCGTGGCAGGCGCAGCACTTTGTGAACCTCCATGTGCAGATTTCGTGGCAGGCACAGCACTTTGTGAACCTCCATGGCAAGATTTCGTGGCAAGCGCAATACTTTGTGAACCTCCAGGTGCAGATTTCGTGGCAGGCGCAGCACTTTGTGAACCTCCATGTGCAGATTTCGTAGCAGGCACAGCACTTTGTGAACCTCCATGTGCAGATTTCGTGGCAGGTACAGCACTTTGTGAACCTCCAGGTGCAGATTTCGTGGCAGGCGCAATACAAAATGCGTTTTGGAGAGATAGCGGAAGCACGAAATGCTGGATTTTTCAATAGAACCGGTGGCTTCAAACCTGGCAAGTCTAGCTCTGCGGAACGACGGGTGCGAGATGGTCTCGGGTCATGCTCGGGCATGGTCGGAATCGTCCCTCCATTGGGATTAGAATTTTCACTTGTTTCTTGAAGCGCAGATTTCGTGGCAGGCACAGCACTTTGTGAACCTCCATGTCCAGATTTTGTGGCAGGTGCAGCACTTTGTGAACCTCCAGGTGCAGATTTCGTGGCAGGCGCAACACTTTGTGAACCTCGAGGTGCAGATTTCGTGGCAGGTGCAATACTTTGTGAACCTCCAGGTGCAGATTTCGTGGCAGGCACAGCACATTGTGAACCTCCAGGTGCAGATTTCGTGGCAGGCGCAGCACTTTGTGGAGCTCCATGTGCAGATTTCGTGGCAGGCACAGCACTTTGTGGAGCTCCATGTGCAGATTTCGTGGCAGGCACAGCACTTTGTGAACCTCCAGGTGCAGATTTCGTGGCAGGTGCAGCACTTTGTGAACCTCCATGCGCAGATTTCGTGGCAGGCACAGCGCTATGTGAACCTCCATGTGGAGGTTACGTGGCAGGCACTGCTGAGAACTGGCGACTTTCTAGTGCAACTTTAGTACGCGGAGCAATCTGTAGAGCTGGAAGCTGAAAACTGGCGACTTTCTAGTACTAAAGTTGTAGTACGCGGAGCAATCTGTAGAGCTGGAAGCTGAGAACTGGCGACTTTGTAGTACAACTTTAGTACGCGGAGCAATCTGTAGAGCTGGACTTTCTAGTACAACTTTAGTACGCGGAGCAATCTGACTGGCAAGTTTTTAGTACAACTTTAGTACGCGGAGCAATCTGTAGAGCTGGAAGCTGAGAACTGGCGACTTTCTAGTACAACTTTAGTACGAGGAGCAATCTGTAGAGCTGGAAGCTGAGAACTGGCGACTTTCTAGTACAACTTTCGTACGCGGAGCAATCTGTAGAGCTGGAAGCTGAGAACTGGCGACTTTCTAGTGCAACTTTAGTACGCGGAGCAATCTGTAGAGCTGGAAGCTGAGAACTGGCGACGTTGTAGTACAACTTTAGTACGCGGAGAAACCTGTGGAGCTGGACGCTGAGAACTGGCGACTTTGTAGTACAACTGTAGTACGCGGAGTGACTGGGGAGCTGGAGGCTGAGAACTGGCGACTTTGTAGTACAACTGTAGTACGCGGAGCAACCTGTGCAGCTAGAAGCTGAGAACTGGCCACTTTGTAGTACAACTTTAGTACGCGGAGTATCTGGGGAGCTGGAGGCTGAGAACTGGCGACTATGTAGTACAACTTTAGTATGCGGAGCAACCTGTGGAGCTGGAAGCTGACAACTGGCCACTTTGCAGTACAACTTTAGTACGGAGGAGTCATCTCTTGCGACTGAGTCATCTCTCGCTGCTGAGTCATCTCTCACGACTGAGTCATCTCTCGCTGCTGAGTCATCTCTCGCTGCTGAGTCATCTCTCACTGCTGAGTTATCTCTCGCTGCTGAGTCATCTCTCGCTCCTGAGTCATCTCTCCCTGCTGAGTCATCTCTCGCTGCTGAGTCATCTCTCGCTGCTGAGTCATTTCCCGCTGCTGAGTCATCTCTCGCGACTGAGTCATCTGTCGCTGCTGAGTCATCTCTCGCGACTGAGTCGTCTCTCGCGACTGAGTCATCTGTCGCTGCTGAGTCATCCCTCGCGACTGAGTCGTCTCTCGCTGCTGAGTCATCTGTGGTTGCTGAGTCATCTTGAGTCATCTCTCGCTGCCCACTCATCATACACCACTCATCATACACCACTCAACATACACCACTCATCATACACCACTCGTCATACACCCCTCATCATACAAGACTCATCATACATCACTCATCATACACCACGAATCATAACCCAACACTGGTTACAGTTGATTGTTTTGTCAACAGGTAAGTTTGTACTGAAGGTTGAAGTCAGGAGAGCGTGCGTTTGACTGGGGGAAACGCGTGTTTGAGAGAACCGGAACACTCCTATAGGTCAATTTGTTCTTATAGGAAACTTCCGCCGCCGGCTTGCCCGGGAACTGCTTGTAGTAGTAGTAGTAGTAATAATAATAAGTAGTAGTAGTAGTAGTAGTAGTAATGGTAGTAGTAGTAGTAATAATAATAAGTAGTAGTAGTAGTAGTAGTACGTAGTCGTAGTAATAGTAGTAGTAGTAGTAGTAGTGATAGTGATAGTAGTAGTAGTAGTAGTAGTAGTAGTAGTAGTAGTAGTAGTAGTAGTAGTAAGTAGTAAGTAGTAGTAAGTAGTAGTAAGTAAGTAAGTAAGTAAGTAAGTAAGTAAGTAAGTAGTAGTAGTAGTAGCAGTAGCAGTAGTAGTAGTAGTAGTAGTAGTAATGGTAGTAGTAGCGGTGGTAGTAGTAGTAGTGGTGGTGGTGGTGGTGGTAGTAGTGGTAGTGGTAGTGGTAGTGGTAGTAGTGGTAGTAGTGGTAGTAGTAGTAGTAGTAACGCGGAAGATTTGCACCCCAAACTTCCTTTGATAATGGCAGCGGTGTTTCGGCTTCTGTCTATAAGTCATTGCTTCCGAGGACTCTGGTGGCATTCTAACAGTGGCGTTTCGTCCACAAGCGGCGCTTCTAAGTTGGAATTGCCGATCCTGACGCAAAAGGGTAAAAGCCTCTTACCCTTCTGCCGGGGTCAGAGTATTCTAATTATCTTCCAGTCCGGCGGTATATATACATTTATTTACTCAATTTTCGGAGCGTGTGGGGATCTCTGCCCTCCCTATAGAAGGACCGGCAAAGCACCTCCCCGACTTCTTATAAAACAATAATGGATGCATCCACCTGGCTAAGCTGATGCTTGCAAATATCTGCAAATGCGTTTTGGTCTGTACGGCGCCAATCGGGCTAAACAAGTAGACGGGCGTTACCGTGCAAATGATGAACCCAAAAAAGACAAAACAAACGCAGAGGCCCTGGCCAGCCTGTCCAGAGCTTCGTGTCAGCAAAAACATATGCTAACTCTCATGATCTGAGGTTGCGGCTTCTTGTGGTTTGGAAAGGTCCGGGGCAAGTCTCGCTCAATGGTGTCAGAGATGGCAGAATCCACGGGCTCCTAGCAAACATCAACGTGATGGCCAGCAATGGTACAGTAAGTGTTGCTGAAAGCTGATGTTGGCGCGGCCTGGAGGTACTCCTGGTAGGAAACCGGCGAGCGCAAACGCACATTGTCGCATCCAAGCACGCTCCACCAAACTTCAGACCTCAGGAAATAGGTGCAGTCCACTGTGCAATTCTGGAAGTCATTGAATATCAGAAGTACTATCCCAACCTTGCAAGTTCCAAGCTCCAAAGTGTCTTGGGACTGGGGCTCTGCCAAATGCTGGGTCATTCTGCATCATTCTCAGTGTGCTGGCAATCCCGGGTGACTTTCCTCTGAAGACATGAAGCCTTGAAGCCTTGAAACCCTGCTGACGACCTGAAGCCTAGTGACGACCTGAAGCCTGGTGACGACCTGAAGCCTTGAAGACCTGAAGCCTGGTGACGACCTGAAGCCTTGAAGACCTGAAGCCTGGCGACGACCTGACGACCTGAAGCCTTGAAGACCTGAAGCCTAGTGACGACCTGAAGCCTGGTGACGACCTGAAGCCTTGAAGACCTGAAGCCTGGTGACGACCTGAAGCCTTGAAGACCTGAAGCCTGGGTGACGACCTGAAGCCTTGAAGCCTGGTGACGACCTGAAGCCTTGAAGACCTGAAGCCTGGTGACGACCTGAAGCCTAGTGACGACCTGAAGCCTTGAAGACCTGAAGCCTCTTCGTGTCTTCGCGTGTCTTCGTGTCTTCGCGTATCTTCGTGTCTTCGCGTGTCTCCGCGTATCTTCGTGTCTTCGCGTGTCTTCGTGTCTTCACGTGTCTTCGTGTCTTCGCGTGTCTTCGTGTCTTCGGGTCTTCGTGTCTTCGTGTCTTCATATCTTTGCGTCTTCGTGTCTTCGTGTCTGCGTGTCTTCATATCTTCGCGTCTTCGGTGTCTTCGTGTCTTCGCGTGTCTTCGCGTCTTCGCGTGTCTTCGCGTCTTCGGGTCTCCGTGTCTTCGTGTCTTCGCGTGTCTTCGTGTCTTCGCGTGTCTTCGCGTGTCTTCGTGTCTTCGTGTCTTCGCGCAAAAGTCACAACCCGCTTCTGCCAACGCAATGATCATTCTGCGTTGTTGCTTTGTGTTTCGTATGTTTGATACCACACGTGTGGTGTGGCCGTGAAGTGGAGGTTGAAAAGGTAAAGTATGTTTCGCAAAGTTCTGGAAAAAGTGCGCGCGCAACTCTTTAACCGCACGTCACATCACTGCACCACATTGCGCCAGCTGCCTGACAAACGCCACGTTACACTGCAAATCAATACGCGCATGGCCCCACTTCGGTTACCCTCACATCCCTCCGCTTCGTCGCAACTCACCACACTACACCTTTTTACGACACGAACCACCGCAAACACTTTGCGACGCTTCACTCATCACAAATCACCACATCACAAGTCACCACACTAGATTTCACAAGTGCGACTCGTGCATCAAACACTCCAGCTGGCTTTGGCTGGCAGTGCTCATATTAGTTGAGCCGGTGATGTGTTCCTTTCTGCTTGGTTGTTGTTCAGTACTTTCTTCACCCTGTGCATTGGTGTTCTACGTTGCTCCGTGTTGCTGCAAGATGTTTCTAGAACACTGAAACTTTTATGAAGCATGATCGAGAATGGTATGAACAATTATAAAAAAAGGGACGGATAAACCCACATGTTAACAACTTCACCAGTTGAGTGAGTTGAGTGAGTGAGCCACGCAAATCACACTCCTGCGCCTACCAAGCAAAAGCCACGGAGACCACAGGACGGCAGGGCGTACATCCGACCCCTTGCAGAGCACCAAGTCCCGCGCCTGCCACGCAAAAGCCACGGAGACCACAGGACGCCAGGGCGTACATCCGACCCCTTGCAGAGCACCAAAGTGCTGCGCCTGCCACGCAAAAGCCACGGAGACCACAGGACGCCAGGGTGTACATCCGACCCCTTGCAGAGCACCAAGCGCTGCGCCTGCCACGCAAAGCGACGGAGACGACAGGACGCCAGGGCGTACATCCGACCCCTTGCAGAGCACCAAGTGCGACGCCAGCCAGTTGAGTGAGTGAGTTGAGTGAGTGAGTGAGTGAGTGCGTGAGTTGAGTGAGTGAGTTGAGTTGAGTTGGGTGAGTGAGTTGAGTGAGTGGGTTCGGTTGAGTGAGTGCGTGAGTTGAGTGAGTGAGTTGAGTGACTTGAGTTGAGTTGAGTTGACTTGAGTTGTGAGTGAGTTGAGTTGAGTTGAGTTGAGTTGCGTGAGTGAGTTGGGTGAGTGAGTTGGGTGAGTGAGTTGAGTGAGTGAGTTGAGTGAGTGAGTTGAGTGAGTGAGTGAGTGAGTTGGGCGAGTGAGTTGAGTTGAGTTGAGTTGAGTGAGTGCAGTGAGTGAGTTGAGTGAGTGAGCTGGGTGAGTGAGTTGAGTGAGTGAGCTGAGGGAGTGAGTTGAGTGAGTAAGTTGAGTGAGTGAGCTGGGTGAGTGAGTTGAGTGAGTGAGTTGAGTGAGTGAGCTGAGTGAGCGAGTTGAGTAAGTGAGTTGGCTGTTGGGCGGGGGAGGGCGGGAGGAAGAAAGGAAGGAGGAGCGGATACAGCACTAAAAACGAAAACCCCACACGTCAATGTGGGGAACCAGAAAATGTAACACCCACGTAACAAAAATTACGCCATGTCAAAGTTTGTTTAGGCATTTGCTACATGATGTCCTGTGACCGCGTTTACGTTGCTGTGGGGGGTTCTTATGTTTTTGTTTTATAATGGCGACACATCGTTTTAACATGTTTCAAAACTGTTCAACCATTTTCAACTGCACCAAACAGCGTCAATAATGCTCAAAGACGTGCGCAGGTCCGTGAGATCACCAGTGAGTATGGTGTGCCCTTAGATGACATTCTATCCAGCGCGCTGGAAAGCAAGAAGCGTCGCGCAATCCAGAAGGATGCTTTTCACCCTGAGATGTGCGCAAACACACACGCGCACATACAGACATGCATGCATGGACTTACGTTCGTGTGCAAATCAGACGAGGGGTGGGGGATATAGTACAATCTTCTTCAGAGGTTGTTAGATGTTAGGCAAAAACTCCCAAGAGCACCCCAGTGCCTTTTGCAAGACACCAGACCTTCAACTTTCAACACCTAGTTTACCACAAACTTTCACAAGTAGGTGTTATCCATTGACGCTGGTGTTGTTGGGTTTTCGGCAAATGGAGTATGTCTTTCGTGGTCTTTCAAGCTGGCCAATCCAACGACTTCACAAGGTCAAGAAGCCCTAGCTGCCCTAGAAGCATGGGTGAGAAACGAGCGAAACATTCAACCTTAGTCATGAAAGGCAATTGCTGCTTTATTCTCTTTTGCTTCATGATTTCAGCACTGTGGGCATGATATGACATAATGTGCATGGTGGTTAGAGGTGGCTCGCACCTTTCACAGGTATAGTTTGCAAATGACTGCGTATGACTGCGTGTGTTTGAATTACCGTAAACTCTTTCGTGTAAGGTGGTGAGGCACGAAATGATATGACATAGCATGATATAGTGTAGTGAAGTGTTGAAAGTATCTGGAATTGGATCACCCCGTGAAATTTGATTATTGGCCCGAGAGAGTGCGTGATACCATACAATAGTGCATGGTTAAGCACCAGTTAGGCTCAATCCCGCTCTTGAAGGAATACTGGGGCTCATTGGTGGCTGTGGCTGAAGCCAAAGAAGCTGATGTTGAACACAGGATGCGCAAAGAGTTGCTTCAGCCTCGTGGTCACCGGTGAACCAACGCCCATCCTGATCGGGGCTATCAGAATTCTGCTGCTGTTGAGAGGCCGGCCGGTCAGCCTTTTGGAGCTGTCCTCAACGTGCCTGGTGTGGAGAGATTTCCGGAGCTTACGAAGATTGCTTCCTGCTTTGCTTTGCAAGCCACATCAAGTCATCCGCCCTGTTCTAGATGATTGTCACTTTTCAACATTCTTCATCATTCTTCAACGTTATGTTTCGCCTTTGTACGCGTTAGCTTTCCTGCACAGCTCTGCAGAACTCAAGAAACCTCAGCGCCATTCATGACGTCGCTGGTGACGAATGCGTGGAAGCCTTGTCGAGGGCAGGAGATGAAACCCTAGTCATTGGCCAACAGGAGGGCAAACCAGTGCGAAGGTCAGGATACAGCTCGGTGAGCATTACTCCTGACCGCAGGGATTCTTGGGTGTACGACTGTTCTCATAGCAGTCCCCTGCAAGTACTTCTGCGAGCGCGCGACTGTCTACCTTTCAGCTGTGGTACGCTTGTATTCCCAGAGGAGCGAATCGTAGGAATAAACCCCAGATGGGAGATAGGGGGTGATCATGATGATTTGATCATTTCGTGGGAATCACCCCTCCATCGTGAGAATCACCCCTGATGCTTTGTTTTGGTTATGTGTTAAGTGCTTTAAACAAGATTTGTAGTGAAATAGGGTTTGTATCAGTTTGGTGCATATAGAGCTGCTTGGGCTCTTAAAGGGGAGATTTGTAGCAGATTGCGGGCGAGCAGACTTGCACTGGCCTCAATTGCCTTTCATTTGCTTTGAGTGTAGCATGGGCGGCTCACGCACCACATGTGAAACATGTTACATGTTGCTTCTTTCTGCAGCTGTTTTGGTGGATTACTTAAAGGCTTGGGACTGTCGTGTGTGCTTTGGCTTTGACAGTTATGATCGTGATCTCTTCTCTGGAGGCAGAGAAGAAGGGAGTCCGCGCATGTGTTTTTGGGGGGAGGGGGTCAAAATGTAACTTTGAAGCTTTCACAGACACAAAATGAAGCAACCTTCTACGCCTTTGCTTGATTTTGCTGGCTGCGTGAGCAAGGTCCAACCCCCCGCCACCCCCCCCAAAAAGGCCTGAAACTGGACCAGGGGGGGTGGTAAGTTACATTTATCAACCCCCCCGAAAAAGTAAGTTACAATAAAAAGGTACCCCCTGTTTTCAGTGCCTAAGGGGGTGATGATGCGCCAAAAGCCCCACGCATGTGCTGAGGCCGATATGTATACATATATGTATATATATATATATATATGTATATAAGTTGGCCTCCAAATTGCGCACTCTGAGACGTTCACCTGTACCCTGGAGGTATGCCCTTCCGCAAGAACGTCTTCAGCGTCTTCTTGGGCACGCTTTTCCAACCTCCCTCTGGAAGTTTGGCCCGGCGAACCTGAGACATAGGGGGAGCAAGTGGAACAACTTCCATGGGGCTCATGAACCTCTAAACGATGCAATCTCCTGCTCGCTTTGGCCTGAAACCACCTTAGTAGAGCATGATTGTTCTGGATCTTTCAACTTGCGATAGAACTCCAAAGCGAACGCAACAAGCGAAAAGCAGCAAACTTCAACAACGAAGAGCTTGTATCCCAGACACTGGGCATATGCGCTCGCAGACTCACCGTTAGGATCACCCACTGCAGCGAAGCCAAGTGAATCAAACCTCTGCAGGGAAACATAGGGAAACCCTTTCTTGCTTGTTACTTGTTTTTCTTTCACACGCCAACTGCTATGACAGGTCGTGGGCCACGATTGCGACCCACTGACAAGCATGGCTGTATGCAAATCTGAGTGACCGGCTCCTCGCCTACCGAAAAGGCCTGGTCAAGGCCATCCTCTTCAGACAGGTCCTCCTCCTGCGCAGCAGGTGGTGGGCGTGGAGGTGGATGTTGAAGAATAGGCGGCATCCAAAGTCGGACTTGTGGCTCAACATGTGCGCATTATGCGCTGTGCTGGGCAAGGCTGGATTGCTTTGGACGGCGTCTGCGTCAAGCATCCATCTCAAAGTTGAACCAAATGGCATTGCACTGTTGGCTGAGACAGAATTCCACCGCCTGTGCCTGTGCACAACACATGCAGGTTGGAAATGTTCAATGTCCAATCAAAAATCAATTGCTGCAGCCGGTTGAGATAGGTTTGGTTTGCTTGAGCCTTAAGCAGTGCGTCTGTTTCCCCAAACACCATGGCAACACAGTGGGTTCTGATCGGAAGTTCTCGCATCGTGGCAGGCGCAGCACTTTGCGGACTCGTGGCAGGCGACGCGCTTGTGGGCCTTGAAACGCAAATTTTGTGATGTGGGCAGAAGCGCGGATGTGTCCCACATGCCATATGCTCAATGCGTGTGCTCCAAGGTCCACAACCTTCAATTCTGAACCTTGTTACCTCCATCACCACCGCTGCCAGCAGCAGCACACCTTTCTCCCTGCACTAAGCGCCCCTTCCAGAGGGGCCAAACCCTTCCCATCCCATAACCTTGCGCCCTAATCTCCACCAATGAAACCTTGCCTCAAAGAATTGGAGGTACACAAGTAGTCCCAACCTGACCCACCAATGCCTCCCTGTCTACAGCGTGCCAGTACTCAGTAACCAAACCCTGACCCAAGACCTTGAGGCCCCAATTTTAGAAATACATTTTTGGACAGGGCCACCAATGAAACCTGGCCTCTTTCAAACAAAACCGCAAACAACACAGCCCTCAAAGAATTGGAGGCTTGGGGTGCACACTGGGTTGGTTTAGAAGGTCCAGTTAGCTGGCATTGCTTGTGAATGCTTTGTGAAAATGATAAACCATGAATGCGTGGCCTTGTTGCAATCAAACTCAACCCTGGGCATTCTTTATACGTTGGTCGTCTTTTGGGGTTGGCATGGGCCGCAAGCCATTTGCAGAGCGAGGAGGCGCGCAACAAAAAACACAAATTCTTTCTAGAATCAAGCGCGCAACTTCTTCAGGCCTAAAACCTCTGTATATATATGTATATATAAAGAAGATCTGAATGTTTTCCCCAAAAAGTTCACTGTTAGGGGTTCTCAATTCTTTCTTAAGATGTGTCCGCCCTTTGTGTCACTGCTGGTGTCCGCCCTTTTCCGCTGGCCATGTACAATTGTCTCCAAGGTCTGTCACTGGCGGTGTCCACCCTTTTCCGCTGGCAATGCAGCATTTCTATTCATTTATCTTGCAGGTTTGTCACTGGTGGTGTCCGCCGTTTTCCGCTGGCAATGTAGCATTTGTCTCCCAGGTCTGTCACTGCTGGTGTCCGCCCTTTCCGTTGGCCATGTAGCATTTCCATTCATTTGTCTCCCAGGTCTGTCACTGCTTTTTCTATTCATTCCCCAAACAGTTTACCGTTACGTAGGCTTTTCCGCTGGCCATGCAGCATTTTCAAAAGTGGTTTCTTTACTTTTGTCTCCCAGGTTCGGTGCCTGCACTGCTCGTGTCCACCCTTTTCCACTGGCCATGCAGCATTTCTATTCATTTGTCTCCCATGTGATTTGTTTACTTTTATTTCCCAGGTTCGGTGCCTGCACGGCTGGCCTCCGCCCTTTTTCCCCTTTCCAGCGTTTCTATTCCTTTGTCTCCCAGGTGATTTCTGCACTTCCCCAAGCAGGTGACTGTTAGGGGTTCTCAATGCTTTGTCTCCCTTCTTGTTGGTCACTGTGTCCCCCCCTCTTGTTGGTCACTGTGTCCGCCTCGTCTCCCTTCTGTTTCCTTTTGTCTCCCTTCTGTCTTCCTTTGTCTCCGGTCTGGTCTCCCGCGAAAGCCATGTGTTTTACGGTGTTTTCGGGGTTGCGGAGAGAAGCGTCATGTCGGAGAGTCAACCTCTACAGGACACTCCGCCTCCTCCTCGCATTCCTCCCTATCCCTTCCTTCTCTCTCCTCCCTCCCCCAGATAGCTGGAGGCTATAGGGGCTTGCGACAGCTGTGCCATGGTTGAGTCATTCATGAACCTGGTTTTCCGGCAGGCCTTGAGCCACCAGTACGCTCTCGCCGCGAGGGTCGGCGAGGTTTTGCCTGTCTTGAGCGAAAGATTGGCATCTTCCTTGTTTTCACCCCGAGCCATACTACTTCATAGCCTACTTGGTTGGCGCCTTCTTTTGGGGTTTGCGCATTCCTGCTACCGCTTGAGCGCCTGGTTCCGCTCCGAGCGGCCGGAATAGGGCCGGTCAAGATCGCCTCTCGAGAGGTTCAGTGTCTTCCCGCCTGCTTCTTACGGATATCCTCCACGTTTGAGGAGGAGACTGCTGTCTCCGTTGAACGGGAAGAACCTCAGGCGCGAGAGCACGTGGAACCTGAGCCAGATCCAGAACCTGACTTTAGGTGGAGGATCTGATTCAGCTCATTCGCCTCGGAGGTCCTGTGGCTACAGCCTTGACAGACTTCGTGGTTGGTGCAACTTCCTTTTCCTTTACCTCAAGGTTTTTGCCTTTGACTTGACGGTTGAGGAGATCTTCACTGGTGGAACTACACCAGCGCTTTTTTCCAGTTCTTTGCCAACGGCTACTTTGCAATGGAGCCGAAACAAACGGCTGAGACAATTCCCTCATCGGACTCATCGGACGGGAATCCAAGAGGCCGGCGAAGATACCAAAGAGAGGTATCGTGGTACGTGCTTGGCCGCTTGGCGCCAAGAAGAACCAGAGGTCCTTGATTGGCCGACGCCTTGTGTCCAAGCCCGCCGGCCCCGCCATGCTATGTCATGGACTCGGGCCGACATAGCTGGATCCAATGGGACAGGTGATGATGAAGAAATTGGAGCTCACCACTGGTCCGCCGCAAGCTGCCCAACACGGCAGCAGTCATGCAGCAATACTTCAAAACTACAAGAGAAACCCTGGTGAGAGCATCAGTGCCTACCTGGTCCGCGAGACCTTGTTCTTCGAGGAGTTCCTTGAGTCGCTGATGGACCTCAAGGATAGACCCGCCGACTTCGTCTTCGACGGCGTCGACCCGGACACCGATGAGGAGGAGAACGAGGATGATGGTTCTTCACAAGGTGGCTTGCGCTCCAAGGGGCAGACCAAGGGCTACGAGAAGGTTCTACAAGATGATCCTGATCCTGAATCTGCATCCAGGGCACCTTCACGACGAGGCCCACCTGCTCTTTCCACCACGGAGTGGCGCTGCACTCAATGCTGAGGAGTGGCGCTCGATTTTTGCAAGCACCAAGAACCAGTTCGACTACGACTCCGTGAGCTCGGCCCTGATGGTCCTTTTTGACAAACAGGCTCAACACCATCGACAATCTCATGCTCAACCTCCAGCCCATTCACTTCACACCGTGGAGGAGGAAGACTGGTCCTGGAATGAGGATGCTTCATGGGATTGGCAGGATCCTTGGGCTTTGATGGCATGGGAGAATGGTGATTGGGGCTCGTACTATCACCACGACACCTTGGAGGAGACCGAAGGGGCACCTACCGAAGATGGAACTGCTGCTCAACCACCTGCCCAGGAAGCTCTCGCAGCAGATCGCTCCTGGTCTCAGGCTCAACAAGCCAAATGATCAACTAGACGACGGTTGGCCCGAGAGCGAGACATGTAATTGTCCAGCACTGTCGAAAAGATGTATAGAAAGAGAGAAAGAGAAGGTGGATGTGAAGGAGTGACAGTGTGGATGTGCAGGTGCGATATAGATCTGTAGATGTATGGAGGTGGAGAGGTAGATCTGTGGATGTGAGCGTGCGAAGATGTAAATGCACAGAGACGAGAGAAAAGATATGTAGAAAGAAAGAAAGAAAGACAGGACAGATGTGAAGGAGCGACAGTGTGGATGTACAGATGTGATATAGATGTGCAGATGTGTGGGTGTGGTGAGGTGGAGAGGTAGATCTGCGGATGTGAGTGTGTGAAGATGTAAATGTAGAGAGGTGAGGGGGTGTAGACGTAGATGCGTCCATGCAACGGCAGCGCAACGTCAACCTTAGTTGTGCAAGTACAACTCTGAAGAGGTTCAAATAGAACTGAAGAACGTACATTTCACACTGAAGTTTACACGAACAGGGCGACCTGAGAGTAAACGACGTCACGATCATGACAAGCGACTCGTGTATTCCAAGCGAACATCGTTTGTCATGAAGGTGAAGTACACACATACTTACTAACGCCACGATGACTCTTTTCTGGCAGCCACTTATGAGTAAGCAAAGTAGCAAACATTTGTCAACCTCTCAAAAAAGCCGGGTGGTCGGGAGACATGACTCAGCTGCAGGGGCGCCAGAGCAGCCGCGAGAGATGACTCAGCCGCGTACTAAAGTTGTACTACAAAGTCGCCAGTTCTCAGCTTCCAGCTCCACACCTTGCTCCGCAAACTAAGGTTGTACTACAAAGTCGCCAGTTCTCATCTTCCAGCTCCTCAGATACTCCGCGTGCTAAAGTTGTACTAGAAAGTCGCCAGTTCTCATCTTCCAGCTCCCCAGATACTCCGCGTACTAAAGTTGTACTAGAAAGTCGCCAGTTCTCATCTTCCAGCTCCTCAGATACTCCGCGTACTAAAGTTGTACTAGAAAGTCGCCAGTTCTTAGCTTCCAGCTCCTCAGATACTCCGCGTACTAAAGTTGTACTAGAAAGTCGCCAGTTCTTAGCTTCCAGCTCCACAGATTGCTCCGCGTACTAAAGTTGTACTACAAAGTCGCCAGTTCTCATCTTCCAGCTCCCCACGTACTAAAGTTGTACTACAAAGTCGACACGCGCGATCTCCGCAGAGGGTTGCGCCGGACCGGGCCAAAACGCACTCTAGCCTGCATTTCGCGCCCTCGACACGCACGATCTCCGCAGAGGGTTGCCCGCGCCAAATCCAAAACGCACTCTCGCCTGCGTTTCGCGCCCTCGACGCGCACGATCTCCACAGAGGGTTCGACACGCACGATCTCCGCAGAGGGTTGCGCGCACATGGGACAAATCGCACTCTCG